AGTCTTCGCTTCCTCCATTTGAGTTAGTGTTGGGCGATATGCAAGTGGTGTTGCCAGTAGGATTCTATCCACGAGGCCATGTCCATGGTCCATGCGCGCTATAAGTTTGGCCGCATTTGTAAGCTGTGTGGACCCGAGGATGCAGAAAGGCGTCTCTGCCTTAATTACTCGAGCGTTTTCGGTTGAGAAGTGGTACGTCGAGGACTCGCCAGAAAAGAGTTTGCATAACAGCTGGACGTCGCCAGTTCCGTTTTCTTCATCAGACTTCATCAGTTTGTTTAGGACGTCGAATACTTGGGTGATTATTATTATATGAGTATTATTCCTTTCTTGTTAGCTGAGATCAATTTGACAAGGCCAGAAGAAGTTGTTTTGCTGATAATGGACTCGCCAAAGTCACTTCCCTCTAGTAAATCTGTGGCAGCRTAACGGATTGCTGACGACTTTCCTATAGACAAGCAAAAATAAAAGAGATTAAGTAATTATAAGTGATTTGTTGGAAATGAGATGACAATAAAAAGATGTTTGCTAAACCTTCTCTAAAACTTTGCAGTGGAAACATTTTTAAGCAGTATACTAAAAWGTTYGGATTGTGTTTGATAGTTGTAGAGAAATAAAAGATGGAGCTTACCTGTCCCTGGATATCCAATGAAKAYCGTGTAGAGATTCAACGGCTGGTTATGCGTAGTTACATTAACTTTTGCATCGTTACATGAAAGTAGATATGCCGTGGTGGTGATAAGTGAAGGAATGAAGTAACCCTCGCAGCTGCCAACGGATATGGCTTTATATTTGATAAAGTTGTAGACAGTCTCTTCTGAAAACAGTTCCTCATAAGGAAATTGAACTTCGTTCAATCGTTTTTGTAGNACAGTAACCTTTCTTGGCATAATATTATTATAATATTATCATTTTATTTATTGCACATATCATAGTATATTTATTTATTTATATCTATTATTATTATTATTGTTATTTTTATTTATTTATTTAATATCCTTGTGATACTTATGGTTTTAAGGATAATAAAGATAGATGTAGATGTAGATGAAAATAGAATCTTGCAAATGTCAGGCTGCTTTAATGTTGTGTCCTGGAAGCATATCGAATTCTTCCATGTTGTAAAAATTGGCCATAATTCCATATGTTTTTGTTTTGCTGGTACTGCAGCTTACAGGGAAGCATACACTTCGAAATACATAACTTACTTCGTAAAGCTGAGCAAAAGACCGAAGAAGGTGTACATCTTTTATGCTCCAGGAATGGCTTGTATCTACTTTGTACTCTCAGTGTAGAACCAACTTTATACAAGAAAAAAAAAAGCTGAATGAAAAGGATTTCGGCATGGATTTCATACCTCATATATGTTTGCAATAATTCTGATGCCACAGACGTAACAATGTCTCCGGCCATATTTTTGCTCGAACTTTTACGAAAGTAAATCCGTAAGATGTTGATGTCACCAAAGCCGAACCTTCGTCGACAGCTACAAAAGCCTTTCGTTTCACTTTCGTACTTTGCGACAGCTCTCGAAACCATCCGAAGCCTTCGCGAATGTAAAAACCCGAGCGTTCTCCGAAAAAGTGTCCCATCTACCTGGGGCACACATCGGTCCATGGCGAGCCAAATGCTTCATTATCATTTTCTTCTCGTAAAACAAATCCCAAAGACCCAAACTCATGAAGTAGTTGGAAAATCATAGTACACATCATTATTGTAGGTAAAATTGTCATTTACTATTATCGTTGGAGAGATAGGGGCAAAATAAGATTTGTCACGTGACCAGTGTTTCATACCTTGTCAAGATTATACTATACCCGCGAGGCGCGCGATCGTGACGTAGCACCACAGGTAATCCGCATTTTTGCTAAGAGCGCGCGCCGATAYATATACATAATAAAAGCGTACGCATTCGTTCTTTTCTGTCTCTAATGCATTAGTTGGGCGGCCTATGTTATTTCGAGTAATTTTCGAGCCGCCATTACTTTGAACTGATCTGACCATAATCCTTTGCAATCGAAGTTCAAAGCGGAAGTGATGTCACTGACTTAACCCACGAACGAGGCTACACTCAGATGGCTAGAGAATGTATACAAACATAGCGACATTCCTACAACAACGTAGATTTTTAGATATAAAAACCTGTGATTCATTATGTCCGACAATAGCTGTGTTGTACAGGTCTAAAGCAACGTCTCCGCGCTAGTAATTTCTATTCATAAATCCCCAATCAATGAAAAATACGGCGGGAATGGGTCGGGTTTTTAGGACCATTGCGGAAACTTTCGCTGTTCGATGCACTTTGAACAAAAGTGCTTCTACAGATTCTTCGTTAATTGAAGCTCTAAAAGAACCCTTATATGCTGTTTCGACAATTTGGGAGATTGAAAAAGAATCCAAAATTTGCTCCGTGCGAGAAAGACGAAAGGTGAGGGACAAAATAAAATAAAATTTCTCGCAAAATCGCATTCCAAAATGTGAGTTATTTTTTTTGCTTTTCTTACACCAAGTGATTTTTTAAAATTCTAAATTTAAAAATTTCTCTGAACCTGAAAACAAGAAAAGGTGTAGGCTATCGAGTTGTACAATAGTAATGGTTAGAAATTCCTGCAAGTGTCTTATCTCAGAAACNATCGCCCTGGCGATTCTTGGTTTGTCGCTCACTGTATTGGATGTACTGTTCCGTTACTTCGAAGTCATCGATGTGGCAGTCATAATGCTCCTTTACTCCTCTCATTCCTAAGTGCATCATGTTGTTCCACCATACAAGATTCAACAAGGACTTTGGGTTGCTGAGACCAATGGCTCCGGACGACCACATTTGCTCTATTTCTTCATCTTCTAAAGACTGAGCTGCATTAGGTTTATTGCCAAAACCTTTTTTCTTCAAATYTTTTTTCTTCAGTGACAAGATGCTTGAAATCTCTTCAAATTCGACACCTGGGGTTTYTTCTATGTCAAAGTTGTCGGGCGCTGGCGGACATGGTCTTTYGAGGAAGTATCTTCGCAGCCCATTTCTGTAAGTTTGAAGCGTCCCTGGCTCGTATTCTTTCCCTTCGTTGCCTTTTGTGGTTTGCCTTATCTMAAGAAAGAAGTGCTTTAGGAGGTAAGGTGYATCATCTTTACTTATTTGATTCATAWCCACATAACAACCATATTTTTGTTGGTACCATGACTGGAAACGGCGAACAGATGACGCGGTACTTTTCTTTGTGTTTGCTGCCGTAAGGCTGTCTTTCAAAGCGATTATTTCGTCATCTGTGTAAGAAACAATTGTTTCTTTCGGTTTGCTGGAGGCATTATCTGTAAATGTTTTTTTCCGGCACTGTTTTTTCTGCCATTGTTGTTGTTACGGACGAAGTAGTTGTCGCCATTACAGCAGCTTGTCGTCTTTTTCTTGTACGAGCAAGAGTCAAAGGCTTTAGTAACTTTTTAAAATCAGAATCTAAAGACACTGAAAAATTTGGATAATCAATTTTGCCAGAGCATGCACTGATTTCGTGAATGAATTGCTTTTTTAAAACTGATCTAAGCTAGCTTTAAGCGGTGCGTTGAATTCAGCTTTCTCAGCGTTGAATTCCACTTGAAATACCCTCTCATCCGGTTGACGTTTCGACCAATCACTGCACGATTTTAAAATTGAGGTATGAGATTCTAAATGGAGACCATGATGTTGAAAGAAATGACAATAATGACGACAAGGAAGGCCCAAAAACTAGGTACAAACTTAATATTTCAACGCAAATGTAGCAATTTTCACTAAGGTCTTTTAATTAAATTCATSCAACATTTTTTACATAGTAATACCAACAATAAAGAGAAGAGCCAAAATAGTCTTCCTGTCTATTAGCTGTTGTTGCTCTTTAATTTTTGCCATTTCTGCTGTCCAATCCAAAAAATAGAGTCGAGCAAAAAACAATGCTTACTAATCTACTCTTAGTGCAATGGTTAAAAAACCTGGCAAATCCAGATGCTAGGGAAGTTTCCTGCGAGTCAGCATCATGTTCTCGTCCTCTTCCTCTTTAGTTACTGTTCTTTCGTTCTCTGTCAACTCTTCAAGCGGTTCAACACTGTCATCATACGCAGATAGGTCTTCAGATGCTGAGAAGAAACTCTCATTTGAAGAATCGGAGTCATTTTCAAAGCGGTTTGCTTCGTTTTCACTCTCCATTTTATCGTAACTTTCTTATAAAAACATCGAATCAAAAGGGGCTCAGATATCAAACCGATTAATGGCGGACGGGATTTTTACTACTTTCGAAGCTCGATTTCTCATATTCTTTTGACTTTGTTGATAAAAAAATTAGCCAGCATGCTTAGTTAGACTGTGTATTAAGTGTATTAGACTGGCTGCTTCAAAAGGACGCATTGGTGTCCTGTTGGCAGTATCACTAATAACATCATTCCTCTACAAGTGGAATGAAAAGCAGAAAGCTAAAATTAATGGTCGGAAGACTAAAGTTTATCGTCCAATCATTTCTAGAAAAAATGTTCACAAATGTTAAAAGTTTAACAAAGGAGCAATTTGGAATTGGAGTATCAAAAAAACGAACAAACAACTACTGCTCTCAAACGAATGTCCTAGCTGCGCCATATGACATCTGTTGTAGGTCTTTGAGTGAAATGCAGGATATGATGTGAAGGGCACTTGATGATGGAAGTTCTGAGATCGATTGTACTGAGGAAAGCGATGATTATACATGTACCAAAATTGAAAAGGAARCATTTACACGGGCTCTTAATTTGTATGCAATTGTAAGCAATCTTCCAATCGTCATTAACAAAGCAGTAAATACAAATCACTTTCACTTAATGAGCACCCATGCTCTATTCTCT